GGGGCGGGTCCCGCCCACCTGGGCGCACTGAGGGCTGGAAGCGCGGGCTTGGGGTCCACGCCCGCCGGTGGCTGGGGCCTGAGGGCTCCCGGGGACTTAGAAAGAGGGAGCCATGGACAGCAGCCTAGACGGGGAGAGAAGGGGAGAATGCACAGGCCAGAGCTCACGGGGAGCCCGAGAGAGGAGAGCCGGGCTTCGATGAGCTCGCTTTGTGCCAACAAGTCCTAATCCTCACGGCTCAGAGGGCTCAGTAAGTTGGTCCCTCTTGACTCAGCCAGAACAGGCTGGACGGGAGGGCGGGCCCAGAAGGTGAGCACTGTGTGTCACCTTCAAACATCTGGATAGCAAGCTCATCTCAGTAGATGCAGAAAAAATATTTTAAAAATTTAATACCCATTATGATTAAAAACTTATTAAATTAGAAATAAGAGTTTCTTAATCGGATAAAAAACAGCTACCAAAGGGGGAAAGCTACAGCAAACATACTCGATGAGAAATTGAAAGCTTTCACTGGTGACTGAGAAACAGGCAAGGATGCTCACTATTCTCGCATATACTCAATATTAAACTAGGGGTTAAAAGAAAAAAGAAAAGATACCAAATTGAAAAAGAAAATCTGGAACACTCATTATTCACAGGTAACATGATTGGTATGTAGATAATCTAAACGACTTTACAGATAACTATAAAATGCATATATGAATTTAGCAAGATAACTAGCTACGGGGTCAGTATACAGAATCATTACTTTTTGTAAAATAATAATTAGAAAATAAAATTTTAGAAAGATACCATCTATAATAGTATCAACACTGCTAAATTCTTAGGGTCTAACAGAAGATACATAAAATCTCTACACAGAAAACCACAAAACTTTACTGAAAGATCTAAATAAATATACTAACCAGTTATTAGAAAACTCAGAATTTAATAATGTCCATTATCCCCAAGTGATCTTTACATTCAATGCAACCCCAGTCAAAATCCTAGTGAAGTTTTGTAGTAACTGACGGAATCAAATTTAAATAGAAGTGCAAAGACGAAAGAATTAGCCATAAAAATTTTGAGGAAGATCAAATTTGAAGGATTTTACTACCTAAAATCAAGATTTATTATAAATATATTATAATTAAAACAATGTGGTATTGGTGCAATGACTAATAAATCATCTAGTGGAACAGAATAAAGAATCCAGATATAAACCCACACATCTATGGCCACCTTACTTATGACAAAGTGCCACTGCTGTAAGGAAAGAATTTTATTTTTAATAAAATAATATTGTATTAACTGAATATACATGTGGCCACGTGTGATCCTTACTCACATGATATACTAAAATATATTCCAGATAGGTGATAAATCTCAATGTGAAAAATTAAACAATGCATCTTTAATAAGATAACAAAAAAGCGTATTTTATAACCTATGCAAAGATTGTTTTTAACAGGATACACAAAGCCGCATCCAGAGAGGAAAATACTGATAAACTGAATTTCATTAAAGTTATAAATTTTCTGTTCACCAAGACATGATGGAGAAGGTGAAAAGACTCACCAAAAAGTAGAATATATTTTCAATACAGATATCCACAAAGGACTCATACCTACAGATCAATAAGGAAAATGTCAGACAAATTTTTTAAAAGGCCAAAAGTTGAACATTCACTGTACAAAAGAAGACTCCAAATGGCCATTAAGCATAGCAAAAGGTGTTCACTTCCATTAGTCATCTAAGGATTGCTAAAAATCACAGTGAGATATTCCTGCATACCCATCAGAATGATTAAAATCTAAGAAGATGAAAAAGGAGAATAAGAATGAGAATGAGAAGGGGGAGGGGGGAGGGGGGGAGAAAGAAAAATCTGACACTGTTAACTATTGGCAAGGAAGTGGAGCAACTGGAACGCTCCAGCATTATGAGTGAGGAAGTATTGCCACTTTGGAAAACTGCTTGTTAGCACCTACTCAAGCTGCACATAGGTACATGCCATTATTCAGTAATTCCAATTCTGCATATATTCCCAACAGAAATGCTCATACATGTGCATTAAAATACATGGTACAAGAAAGATTATTGGAGCTTAGTTCATAATATCTAAAAACACACACAAATAAAACAAATGTTCATCAATAGTAGAATAGACATATGAATTGTGGCATATTTATACAAAGAAATACTATACGCAGAAATGAAAAAGAATTAACTACTGCTGCATGCTAACCAGAGGCTTGCGACAACAATGGTTTATCTATCACTCATGCTACATGTCCCCTGAAGGTTGGCTGCAGCTCTGCTTTCTATCATCACCAATCCAGGATCCAGTCTGGCACAACAGACTGCATCTAAAGGAAAAGAGAAACAGCGAAGCACATATTGACTCTTGAAATTTCAACCTGGAAATGACATATGGTTTCTTCTACCAACATATCATTGGCCAAACTAAGTTCTATGGTCACTCTTAAGCTCAAGGGCGTAGAGATGTATCATGGGCCCACTGAGAGCAGAATACCAAAAAAAGAACCAGGATATTTGGGCAATAGTTATCCAACTTCCTATAAAAGTTGAGAAAGTGAGTATCTGGCTTCTCTCCCTGGCAAGTAGAAATCAAGTTGAATGTCTGTCTCTAGTTTCTTAGAAGCAGAAGCTGAGAGAGGATTTCCGAAGCGCATCATTTAATGAGAGTGTGCCTATCAGGAAAAATTCATCTGACTTTATGATTTCCACTAATGATGTATGTATTGNGCATCATTTAATGAGAGTGTGCCTATCAGGAAAAATTCATCTGACTTTATTATTTCCACTAATGATGTATGTATTGTGTGTGTGTGTGACTTTTAGCATATAATGTGATTGTTCTGAGTATCAGTGGGCTTCTCTAGAATCCATTCAGGAACAATCTATTTTCCAAAGATCTGCCCTTTACATTCTACCCACAGATAATCTTCAGATTCACTGTAGAAACCACTATTTTTTTTCTGCAGTGGACATTGCTAACAGTCCACAGAATGCCCCTCTGCTCTTGATTTAGGTTTTACCTCTTAATGCTATCAGTGACATCCTGCAGGTTTATGTGATTCATCTTAGCTATTCGAAACCACAGGGTTCCTCTGCTGGGCAATGCCTGGAGCTCAATGAACTCGAGTTTGGTGATAAGCATTTATTTCACCAGTTCCCAAAGTCATCCCTGATGGACCGAGCTTTTTCTGCTGCCTGTTCTAGACAGTATCAAGCTGACCGTTCAAAGTTTCCATTACATTCTCTGCTCCTACTTAAGCACGTTCCTCTTGGTTTTCCTGAACTGGATGACTTGCCCTTGACCGTGCTAATTATGGTTTTTTACATCTCCAGTAAATTGCTTTTCTGAACATCCTCACTGCATGGGAAAAAATGAATTGTGGCAAAAAGTAAGTGATTTGTTTTCTTGCTATAGACAAATTCCCGCAGTACTGTAGCAAACAATGTGAACACAGTACATCAATAATAGCAAGTGTGTGCCAGGTGTTCTCTAATGATGTGGCCGAGGCACTAAATCAGCACTTTCCACCTCTTTTCCAATATCCTTTGGGTGCAGTGTTTTAAAACACTGGCTACATATTAGAATGGTGTAAGGATATTTTATAAAATACCCATGCCTGAACCCCAACTGGGCCGAAGGTGGTGGGACTCCACTCCTCTAGTGTGCCTTCCTGCCCTGGAGAGGTAGAAACTAGAATCTGTACTTCCTCGACTCTCTTGAAGCCACAGTACACTATGCAATTGTGTGTCTGTAGATCAGAATGGCTTGAGCAGCACTTAAACTGGAAACTGAGGAAAGAGGCAGTATTGCAAGCATGTTTTGCTGGTGTGGACCTTGGCTGCAGACATGACTCTGAACCCCATGGTGCTTATGGTTCCTTGAGCTCTGGTCTTACCTCTTGTGGCTGCAACTATCTACACTCTTCCCAAGGATGCATATGGTTCCTTATATCCCCGCCCCCCCATCAACACTTGGCAATATCTAATATTTTAATTTCTGCTAGTCAAATAGATCTAAAGTGATGTAAGAGTGCGGTTTTAATTGACACTTCTCTGATTATTAAAGACTCTCAGAATCTTTTCATGTGCTTCATTCCCCCCCCCTTCTGTAAATTATCTCTTCACACCATTTGTCTCTGATTCCCTTGGGGTTACTATCTCAAGAGTTGTTATTCTCAAGAGTTCTGAATATATTCTACTTATTAATACCTTGCCAGTTTAACATTGCAAATATTTCTCATTCTTATTTTATTCTATTATCTTTGTCAATGGCATCCTTCCCTGAATGAAAATCCTCAATTTTGATGACTCAAATTTAATCAACTTTTTTGTCTTAGGGTTTATATCTTTGAAACTCTGTTTCAGAAGTCCTTCCCTACTCTTAAGTCATAAAGATACCCTCCTACATTATTTTCTATTAACTCTAAAGGTTATAGACCTTTGTTTGGTAGTTACCTAGTGAGGTTAAGTAACACATACTTTTATTTCCTTCCATAGAGTGAGTCCGTTCTCCCCATGCCATGTCCTAAACAAACATTG